GTAGCTTCGTGAATTGAAATTAATGTTTGATGCCGTATCAGGAAGTGACGAAATTTCGTAATATCAATAGCTTTTTGCCCATACTGGTAGTACAACTTCCTCTCGTCCACAATATCATCGAATCGGCCACGTTCCTAAAATCAAGCATGATAACTCGCCTCTCACAAGATGATTTCTAATTCTTATTGATACCGAACAGAACAAAGCAAGGTTTACGCATGAATACGCATAGTAGGCACCAAAAATTTGAATAAAAGACGTAATTGGAAAGGACTTAAAAACACTGGCCTTGAATTTTTAATTTATTTCGAAAAAAAACATGAATTCTTAAAGTATGTTTAAGAATCTTGAATTTAAGCAATGTTTTAATTTGTTTAAACAAAAAATAACGCATGCTGCTCAGCCCAGCAATCAGGCAAGCTAAGAAGCTTAAACTCAGGGAAACCATGCTTGATCCCGCAATGGTCCAACGGCCTCAAAAAATGTATTGGGACCCTAATTTCACTGGATATCGCGCCATGATCTGATATATACAACTCTTTTTAAATTCACAAACCCAAAAAATCTAGGCAGCAAAATCCTGAGAGATTATTCTTCGATCCGCTACGGATGTCAAATCGAAATCAAATAACTTCAAAATGCACCCATTGCTTAATATTTTCACATTCAAACTATTGTCCCTATTTGCAGGATGAAACACCTATTGGACGAAGTTGCCCAAAGCTCTACGCTCTTGCTGACTTGCACTTCCCCAGCTTAAGGGAATTTATAAAACTTCAAGGCGGCAAAATTTTTGAACTTACCAAAGCGGAAAAAAGCGTATATAGTAAATTTTCAGCAGCATCATCGACACGTTTACTCGCCGCTTTTCGCTCAGAAGGTGGCTGAAAATACAAAAATTTTCAAAAAATAGACTCGCTTCCTACTGCGTATCCGAACAACACAGCGACATGGACGGAGCAAAATTTGCAAAATCCGAAACATAGGCAAAACGAAATGATTGTGTTGCATCATGACCTCCTCCCAGGTAGGCCGAACATTGGCGCGAAAGAGGCCTATATAAGGCCGCCGTATCTGTGTTTTTTGTAGGGAGTATTTTATCCGGCTTTATTGTATCCAGCGCAGTGTCTCTCTGAAGGAGTAGTGGTTACTCCCGTCCAGTGTTGTCGACCGACCCGTGTGAACCCGTGAAGTTCGCCGACTAACACGTACGAAGAACGAGGAACTCGTGCCTACCTCCAGTAATTGTCGACGAGCCGACATGAAGGGCCACAGTACGTGGTCAGTCGACTGAGAAGTTCGGGGCCAGGGAACCCAACAATTGGAAAAACCTTGAAATTATAACGCGAGCTTAAGAAACAACTAAACTCTGACAATAAATTAACAGAGTATCCTTTTTTTCTTACATTAGCAGTCTCAAATTTTCCTCCAAATGTTAATGCTGGATTGCTAATCGGTAAGCTAAGAAACTACACGTGAAACGCACAGAAAACATCCGTCATAAAAGTTTAAAAATAGCAAAAATTCACTAGATTTTT